CCGCGCCCTCCCGCCGGGGCGCCCGCCACTCGCTCTGCACCTTTCTCAAACCCGGTTCCCGGAAGCGGTTCTGAAACGTCCCCCCCTCGCGCAGACTTCTCTGACCCTCCAGGCTCTGGGACTGACTTCCCTGAACCACTCACTCAACATTTCCTATACTTTCTGCATTTTTGCAATAACCTTTTAAGGATACATGCTTTGTAAGCCAATCACAGTAAACTCTGGAGGGCCAAGAACATCTCATGTTCATTCCGTACCTCAGAGAAAGCAAACAATGCCCTCCTCGGTGTAAGCACCAATCGCTTCGAGGTTGTGATGTTAGACCGCCCTGCCCGCAGCCAACTGTGTGTTAAAACCATGATGGAAGCTGCTTCCAACTGTTCGCTCTAGCACATTCGCCGTAGCAGTCAGCACATACAAGTTTTAATAATTTGCATGTTATAGGTGTATGTGCTGTTGCTTTTGAGCGTACTGGATCCTTCAAGGAGAGCTATTTTGCGTTCAACTGTAGTGTGCAAAGTACAAAAGGGTCGGTATCCTACATCTGAGCATCCTGTGCCAAGAAGGTAGCTGATGCTTAGCTCGTGATTAAGAACATAAGCTGTGGTGTTAATCTTAGGTCCAAACCTCGGTTCCACTATTTACCAACTGTATGTTTGTAAACAAATGTCTTACTCTGCCCGGGTCCAAGCCCAGCGGGTCCAGGGGTCCCCAAAGGTGTGGACGGAGTCGGCGAAGAAGGAATGACACGGAGACAGCGTTCAGTTGATCAGCAGCCTTGCCAGGATCTCTAGCCACAATCTCCAGCCAAGTTCTGTGTCCATGTTTTCTTGCTAGGATCTCCAGCCAGGTTCTCCAGGTTCTCCAGCCAGGTTCTGTAGCCATGTTCTCTCGCTAGGTTCTCCAGCCAGGTTCGGTTTAGGTTCTCCAGCCAGGTTCTGTAGCCGGGTTCTTCAGCCAGGTTCTGTCTAGGTTCTCCAACCAAGTTCTGTAGCCAGGTTCTGTCCAGGATCTTTTGCCATGTTCTCTCCAGCGAAGTTTTTGTAGTTAAAGTGATTAACTACCCGCCTGGCACTTAGTTAAGGAGTTTCACCCCCTCCCTAACTTCAGGGGAAAATCTCTACCTGGGGAAACAACCTTTCTCGGAGAGGTGACCTTAGTTGAAACACATAGTGCCAAGAAGGTGAGCAAATATATTAAGAACAGTATGCCATATATGCCAGGTCCCTTGAAACAGCAAGGATGGACCGGCTCCCGGCATTACTCTCTGTTATCTAACATGTAAAAATACTGCCTCCTTCAAGGGATTGTTAGGACCAAGCCAAGTGATGTACATAAAGTGTTTAATGTAATACCTGGCCTATTGTATGGGGCTGATAAATGGCATTTAAGGAGATATTTCTTCTCTTAAGAAATTAACCCTGCACAGGCAGGCCATTAGGGTTAGTGTGAAACTACCTTTGAGACACTCACAGCCTGGCCTGTCCAATGTTTTTCGAGTTTACTAGAGTAGTTAAGGAACCACAGAAGAGTATGGACTTTGGAAGCTGGTGTTCAAACTAGAATCTAGAAACTTCCAATTTTTTTTTTTTATTTGTACTGAATGAGGCAATGAGGTTCATTGTCTTCTGGGAACTTACCCAAAGCTGGATCCCCGCTTCATCCACCAGGGCGGAACTCTAAGAGACGTGGCTCCTCCCATGAGAATTACTGTTGTTCAAGCTTGGAAGCCTCTGGTACAGACTGCTGATTATTTAAAAATCCAGACACGTTGCTGGGAAGTAAGAACCGGGAATTGGAGAACGTTGTGTCGTGTTATGATTATAACAAACCACTAGAGTGTTGAGACTAGTAGCAGAGTCAGTGAAGAAAGGAAGTGAGCAGAGTTAAGTTTCCAACAGCAGGTGTCATGTGTAACGTCAACACTGCTCAAGCATCTGTGTCAGATGGAGCATCTAACACCTGCAAAGGGGTTGGGTATCACAGAGAACCACAGGGATTTGTGCGCCAATGAGAGGGAGAAAATGTGTCTTCGTATTGGTTACTAAAATAGAAGATTTTTGCAATGGTAAAAAACAAGGGGGCTTTTGAACAGTTTGGAGAATAAAATTTTATTGGGAGAAATTATATAAGAACTATGGAACAGAAGGGTCTCCAGCATCGTCAAGCTTAATGGAGATGTTCAGGAAGAGGAGAGGACACCAGGTGCTCTTGGGAAGCAGACCTGAACAAGCTGGGACTCTGAGGCACCAACTCAAACTTCAGCAGCTGCAGCTGATTTAAGTATGACTCTGCTCCTTGAGGTTAAACTCCCAACTAGAAGTGGAGCAAAGTAGATCTTGTCCTTTGGTCAAAAGACTCTCCAGAGCAAATCTGAGGCCCTAATTGCAATTTCAGCCCACTAATTTCTTACCTGTGAAACCGGTTCTGAGCACAGAAAAAATGTGAATGACAATGGGCTGGAGATTCAGTCTTCTCTCATAGTCATTCTTAAACTCTAGTGCTGCCACAATTCAAATAATCAAGGGCCATACATTTCCAGGCAAATGTAAGATTCAGCCTGATTGAGCAAAACTGTCTGCTGCTGGCTGAAATAGAAAGTTTTCCAAAAAGAAGCCTAACCCAGGGCCTGCCAAAATTATGGATGCCTTTGCTCTTTGAGCCAGTCCTTAATTTTACTTAATTTGATTCTTTTGTTTATAATGAGACTGAGATTGCAAGATACCAAGTTTATTTAAGCTGAATCAGAGATGTTTTTTATACAGGGTGGGGCAAAAGTAGGTTTATAGTTGTGAGTACATGAAACAGTTTATTCTTATTTATTATTATACTATTTTTCATATGAACAATTGTAAATCTACTTTTCTCCCATCCTGTATATTGCTAGAATAAAAGCTAATTCATAAAAATTAGCATACTTTTTTTTAATGTATATTTTATTGATTTTTTACAGAGAGGAGGGGAGAGAGATAGAGAGCTAGAAACATCAATGAGAGAGAAACATCATCGATCAGCTGCCTCCTGCACACCCCCTACTGGGGATGTGCCCACAACCAAGGCACATGTCCTTAACCGGAATTGAACCTGAGCCCCTTCAGTCCGCAGGCCGACGCTCTATCCACTGAGCCAAACCGGTCAGGGCAACATACTTTTTTTTAGAATTATTTTAAGTTCGATACTACTTAAAACATTTTATTTTTTTTTATTTTTTTTTTTAAATATATTTTATTGGTTTTTTACAGAGAGGAAGGGAGAGAGATAGAGAGCTAGAAACATCAATGATGAGAATCATCAATTGGCTGCCTCCTGCATGTCCCCAACTAGGGATGAAGCCCGCAACCCGGGCATGTGCCTTGACCAGGAATAGAACCATGACCACCTGGTTCATGGGTCGATGCGCAACCACTAAGCTACACCAGCCAGGCATACATTTTTTAAAAGGTTCATAAGTCATTGAAAATTCCATAAGTACAACATGTTATTACCATAATAGTCAATTATGTCATTGCAAGTTCACATAGTACAACATGAAGCACATGCTGAATATTCCTTTTCTGTATCTGGTCATATTTGAACTGATTTATATAAACTTGTAGTTGCTAATCTATGTAGGTGCTCAGCAAGCTACTTAACAAAGCAGTGCTCAAAAACTTATTAATCTAATTTTGAGAGTCCATAACCCCTACTCCTGAATTCCTCTCTCCACCTCTGATGAATAAAATGGAATTTAGGCATTCATGTCAATTGTAAAGTAAATTATAATGGAAGCAGAACACAAGAAAAAGTACATTTGGGTCTCAACCTAAAGTTCCACTGTCTTCCTGCCTAACATTGAGTCTTAAATACTCAATTCTACTGCCACCTGCTCTCAAAAGTGTTTCCCTCTCCACAGCCTCTTCTGTAGACATTATAGCACTTAACATTTAATTGTAATCACTGGTTTTAGCCACTGAAGGCAGTCCTTTCCCACTTCAATATTTGCTGATCTTGGCAATGGCTAATACACGTTGAATGCTCAGTAAATGTTTGCTGAATGAATGAATATAATCCTTACAATCCTAACATCAATATTTTAATTCTTATGTTCACTTATATTCAAGTACATAGTACTAGTATACACTGGCACAATGTAGGATTAGCTTTCGGTAACTGCTATTCTTCATTCACATAGTGATACTATTAATATAGATTAGCAACAAAAGGCAATTCCTAAAGAAATATGTCTCATAAAATAATACATCAATAAAATTAATATTGTGTTATTAACATACATTTTCTCATCCAAGACGGTCTCTCTCTACTTTCAAACCAGGATGTTTTCATGATTAAAACTAGATCTAATTACTTTTCAATTCTAATTTTCCTTTGGCACAGCAAACAAACCAGAAAACAGCAGTTTCTGCCCATTTTAGTAAATTAATGTAACTATTTTATCTTTATTTCCCACATATGTTCTTACAGGTAAAATTCCATTACAGTGAATTCTCTTAGATAGCCAAATTGATTGTTATTGCATTTATATATTATACAGATTTCAGGACTAATTTATTACACAAATGCTAGGCTTCAAGAAGTAAAAGCCAACATCTGAAATCTGAGTAAAAAGTGACATATAGCCCTAGCCGGCTTGGCTCAGTGATAGAGCATCGGCCTACAGACTGAAGGGTCACAGGTTCAATTCCAGTTGAGGGCACATGCATGAGTTGCAGGCTCGATCCCCAGTAGGGGGCATGTAGGAGACATGCAATCAATGATTCTTTCTCATCATTGATGTTTCTCTCTCTCCCTTTCCCTTCCTCTCTGAAATCAATAAAAATATTTCTTTTAAAAAGTGACACATATAAATTCTATCAAGGTCAGAGATCACTGTGTAATACAGTACTTTACTTTGAAATATGTACAAAATTATGAAACTGTCAAGAGATAGTTAATTTCTTTTTTCTCTTTCATAATAATAAAAACTCCAACAAAGTACTTTCTATACCCATTTATTCTTCATAATAAATCACTATTATAACTGACAATAATGAGAAATGAAAATACTTGAACTTTTAAAAAATACAGAGCCCTTCTTGATTAACAGAATTTGTTTTAATAAAATTTTATCTGTAGTATCTTATACCTTAGACAAGTAACCATTAAAACAAAGAAGACAATGCCAGAGTAGTCATATATTACAGATCTCAGGAAATAGACATTCAGAAAAGACTTAAGGCTACCCAGTAATAGCCTCTTATAAACCCAACAAACCTTACCATTGTAATTTGATTTAAAAGGGACCATATTAGTGTCTGTTGAACCAAGAATAAGAAAATCTTCTACTGCTGTCATTTTCATGTTCTTAGTTTTTCAATCAAATAGTCAGCCTGTAATTTTAAAAACACAACATGTTTTTTATCACAAATATGGTAGCTAGTGTGAAAAATTCTACTGGCATCCCTATTATAATAAACCACAGCAGACTAGCTAGATAATACATATTCTCTTCCTAAAAATATCTTACAAAAAACCTAAATATAAGTGGAATCATATACTATTTGGTTTATTTCCCTGAGCATAATGTCCTCAAGGTTTATCCATGCTGTGGCATGGGTCAGAATTCCCCTCATAAAAAAAATCATTTTTCAAATACAGTGGACATATAATATTAGTTTCAAGTGTACAACATAGTGATTAGACATGTATGTACCTTAAGAAGTGTTCACCTCAGTAAGTCTGGTAACTGTCTGACACCATACATAGTCATTACAATATTATTGACTATATTCCTTATGCTGTACTTTATATCCCCATGACTATTTTACAAAAATGTATTTTTAATTAGTTTTTATTATAGAAGCATAGCTCATTTAGAAAATTAGAAATACAAATACAAGAAAAAAAATCCTGTTTTTAGTTACACTGATATTTTAAAGACCACACCAACTGTCCTACAAAATATCACACTATTTCACTTCAAATACACACACATTCCTTAAGTATATTTTAATTAAATAAAATCATTTAAGCAAGTTGAAGAAAGAAAAAATAAGTTTGAAATATGAGGTTTCTAGAAATCCGGTGTTCTTGAATTTCTTATTTACTATGACTATTATAATATGCATTAATTAATGGTAATTATTTAATTTACAATTTTATAATTACTCAGATATAGCAACTCTAGGTCACCTTATCATCATGGACACATAAACTAAGAGACTGGCAAATCACTAGGCAAGTGGCCCTGGAAGGACCGAGTCATTTTTTAACCTTGACTGTCAGACCACAGGTCTATAAGCAGCTGAATTCTATTCTACTTTTGTCCTAGCAAAGCAGAATTTTGCAATGTTTTAGGCTCAAAGCTTCAACCTCACATCTGGTAGTTGATGCTACTACGACAGCCCTTTTTTAAGAAGTTTAAATATCAAAAATTACAAAATCTCAATTTCTACAATAATGTTGTTAATGAAGACAGGGGCTGCAGGTAACATTTATTGAGTACTTACTATTTGTAAGGTACAGTTTTAAGTGCTTTACATGTAAATTATTTTATAAATTCTACAGAAATATGCAGGTAATAAAGAACTTGAGCCTTAAAAATCTTAAGTAACTTGCACAGGGTCCCTCAAGTAATTAATGAAGCCAGAATTTGAATCCAGATTTGATTCTGGATTCTGAACTATAAATGCCATGATTCTTCTATATCACATCCTCTACCTGCAATGGAGAGACTCAGCCTTAGCTTCTCTTCTACAGATTTGATGACCTGAAAAATCCTCCAAATTAAAAATATTATTTTGGATATGTGCAAGCAATATGTTAAAATAGATGATCAAGCCTATAAAAACTGTCTCCAAGAAAAGAAAAGCTACATAAAAAATGACAAATATTTTATATACTTTTGTATGCTACTAGTATAACAATAACACTTACTGTGATGAACCAATAGGAATTAGGTCTATAAACCAATTTTGATAAGAAGCCAAGCTGATCAACTGGTGCTATGACATGAAGGTGCAAGTGGGAAATGGAACAGAATGGTGGCATATGGAAACCCATTCTAAAACAGAAAAGTAAGAGATAATTGACAAATCAGTTCTACAATAGTTTTAAGCTATTTTTTCATGTTAAAATGCATAAATGTCAAAGAGATCCAACACAGGTTACCTAAGATAGATCTCCACTCAAACATCTCTTTTACTGTTTTTCTTTATACACTTTAGAGTATTCACAAAGTTCCTCTTCATGTTTAAATGCACAGTAACCTAAACTCTTCATCAAGAAGGTCTTACAGTATATCATGCCTTAGTACAACGGTTCTCAGCCTGTGCGTCGCGACCCCTTTGGGGGTCGAACGACCCTTTCACAGGGTCACCTAAGACCATTGGAAAACATATATAATTACATATTGTTTTTGTGATTAATCACTATGCTTTAATTATGTTCCATTTGTAACAATGAAAATACATCCTGCATATCACATATTTACATTATGATTCATAACAGTAGCAAAATTACAGTTATGAAGTAGCAACGAAAATAATTTTATGGTTGGGGGTCACCACAACGTGAGGAACTGTATTGGAGGGTCGTGGCATTAGGAAGGTTGAGAACCATTGCCTTAGTATAACCTTTATGAATTTGGAGTTGGCATTCCATCCTATCACTTTCGGCCTTTATCAATTAAGACATGCTAAGATATTTAATTATCTTAAGATATTTAATTATCCTAAGATATGCCTCTTCAATGAAGCTAAATAAATAAATAATTACTACAGGACACTCAAGTGTGGTTCCATTATTCCAAGACACAACCAGTAGATGGCAAGCATTCTCCTTTAATAAAACTGGTAATTCATTTCCTTATGAACCAGGATTTCAGTAGTGAAATTAATTATGTATCTAAAAAAATTATCAGTTGTTTCTTGTTTAACAATAAAAATTTAGATGACAATTATTCATATTCATTTGTTTTAAAATACATAAAAGAATTCTTTTGACTAATAAAATTTTTTAAAAATATGATTTAACCTCTTAAAAATTAATTTACAGTTTTGCAAGTCCACTTATTCTAAGTGGAAGAAGGCACAGGAGAAGTGCTATATTGTATCAATATAGGACAATGTAAGTCAGATATGCAACACATATTGAAAAGCTTTCACCACTACCTAGAAAAGGAGATTAGGTTTTCTCTCTATGGAATACAAATTATATAATGTAGAATCAAGTAATCCAAAAGCTAGAAGAGACTCAGCCTTTTTATTTTAAATACTAGAGGCCAGCACACGATTGAAGTCACACAAGGAGGCACCCCGCCTTCCGCTGTGCAAGGAGGCACCCCGCGGGCCGCAGGAGTCAGGCCTGACTGGCACCTTCGGTGGCCGGGACCCACGCCTGACTTCCACCCCAGGCCCTCCCAGCCCCCCAACCTGTGTCCGCTCCAGGCCACCGGAGCCACTGTGCTGGCTCAGGCAGGCCCCCGTGTCTGTCTCTGTCTCCACTCCGGGGCCCCACCTTCGCACACAACCTCCTCCTGTCTGGTCGTGACCCATTATGGCATCCCGGCCTAATTTGCATATTTATGTTTAGACTAGGGGCCCGGTGCACAAAAATTTGTGCATTCGGGGGGTCCCCCAGCCTGGCCTATGCCCTCTTACAGTCTGGGACCCCTCGAAGGATGTCCACCTACTGGCTTAGGCCCAGTCCCTGGGGGATTGGGCCCAAGCTGGCAGTCAGACATCCCTCTGGCAGCCTGGCAGCTCTTGGGGGATGTCCACTTGCCAGCAGGGAGCAGGCCTAAGCTGCAGTTGGACATTGTT